AAAAAAACTTAAAAAATAATTAATAATGGTAATGTAGAAGGAAGAAATTTGTTTGTATTTTTTTTTATTATACATCTATTTGGTTATAATAACTGAATAAAATATTTATTTACTTTACTAAGTTTATTAAAATATTTTTGTTCTTTTTTAGTTAAAAATTTGTAATTTTTTTATTCTATTCAATAATATTTATTTTTTCTTCTTTACATTCTTTCATTTTAAACATATATTAAATTATAAATATTCATTTAGAAGAATCATCAAATTGTATATCCCAAGAAGAATCTACAATTTATTTTAAAATTTTTTTTTTCTGTTATTTTATATTATTAAAAACTACTTGGTTGTTAAACTGAGTATTAAAAATTTATTAAATGATAAATTAAATGGATAATAAATAAAATAAATAAAAATTTTAATCATAAGCTAAATTCTTTACTAAATTTTTTTTCCTTTATTGTTTTCGGTAGCTATTATTAAAAGTTTAGCATTAGTTTCTCTCCAATTTCTATTTCTTTGAAAATATTTTTTATCAATTAGTATTTTTTCATTATTATTAGTTTCAGGAGTTTCATCAACCTCTTCTTCAATAGATTTAGTTTCTTTAATAGGCTTAATTTAATGTCATTTTTTGTTTTTAATGCTTCTAAACTTAGTATCAACAGCATCTGTAATTTGATTATAACTTTTTTTAATTAAACCTTTTACTTTAAGATTTGTCAAATCTTTTAATTCATAAAGAATCTATAAATCATTTTTTGTTAGTTTGGATTGTTCTGGAACTTGTTCATCAATAACAGAAAAATATATTGCTGTTTTAAATAAAAGTATTTCCATCAGAAAATTCTCTAAATCTTTCTTGAAAACAAATAAATATAAGTTCTTTTAATTCAATATTTGCTTCTTCCAAAGCTTTTCTACAAGCTATTCTTTTAATGTCTTGTTTTTTTATTGCTTGAAGATAATTGTAAAAATCTTTTTGTGCATTATTTCTTTGACTACATCAGCAAAATATATAAACGTAATATTACGTAATATATTATGACCCGTAATATTGCGCAAGAATTACGATTGATGCGCAATATTGCACAATAATAATTACATAATATTGCGCAATTTTATTATGTAATATTTCATCAAAAAATTTTTTGGATACACAGATTTTTAAAACCCGATAATAAAGTATAATAGCCCGAATTAAGCTTATTCAGGCCAAAAAATAAATTACTTTATTATTTTACATAATTTATAGTAACCCATCGCCATGGTGACCCTGTGATCGACCAATAAAAATTGATCATGTGAATTGTGTAACTTTATTAAAATTTTTAAAAAAAATTTTTTTTTATTAATTTTTAAAAAAAAAAAAGAAAAATTAACTTCGTTATACAACGAATGCATTATAAATGTCGTTGTATAATGAAAGAAACTAATGTAAAAAAAACTTCTACATAAACATACATGCAATACGAATCGCACAACAAATAAGCTAAAATAACTACAACATAATAAAAAACCAAAATACTAACAAGACAATCCATGTAGAAGAGAGTGAATTTTACACCACGAAAATTTTAATGCCAAGTTAACAACTCCAAGGACGACACCAAAGATTATGACTCCAACGATGAAGCACCAAAGGCAATGACTCCAACAACAAAGCACCAAAGGTGACGACTTCAACGACGAAGCACCAAAAAGCAACTTCAAAGAAATCATTAAATTGTTAGTGAAAACAAAAAAAAAAAAAGAAGAAAAAAAAAGAAGAAAAAAAAAGAAGAAAAAAAAAGAAGAAAAAAAAAGAAGAAAAAAAAAGAA